CGGGCACCCTCCCACCGCTGCGGGCACCCTCCCACCGCTGCGGGCACCCTCCCACCGCTGCGGGCACAGGCACTCAGACAGAGCTAGCTACTCTGATGACGCAGGCAGCTCCATTCCCCCAGGGCAGAGTTGGGCGTGGTCCTGTCTCTGGAAGCTGAGGGGTGACCAGCGGTGTGACCTCTAGGCAGGGGCAAGGATGTGCGAAGCCCCCCTGACAGTCCATCACTGGAGCCTGGGCTGCTCACCCTAGATCAGTGGTTCTCAACCTTCTGGCCCTTTAAATACAGTTCCTCATGTTGTGACCCAACCATAAAATTATTTTCGTTGCTACTTCATAACTGTAATGTTGCTACTGTTATGAATCGTCATGTAAATATCTGATATGCAGGGTGGTCTTAGGCGACCCCTGTGAAAGGGTCGTTCCACCGCCAAAGGGGTCGCGACCCACAGGTTGAGAACCGCTGCCCTAGACGGTTTCTGTGTCTTTACACATGCTCTTGGAGAATCTGGTTTAAGTTACCACCTGTTAAGTTACAATATTTCACTAATTTAAACTTCAGAAGAGAGTAACTGACAGCTAAGGGTAAAAGTGTTGCCAGGGAGTCTGGCTGTCACACGCAAGAATGATGGCAACGCCCTGAGCTCCCTGCCCACTGAACTTGGCAAGCTCTTCCACCCAGTGAGGCCCGAGTGGGTCCCCTGCAGAGATGTGTCAACGTGAAGTAAAGAGGGCGCCCACTGCACAGCGTGACAAATGCAGCCAGGTGACCAGCGAGGTGCAGAGGGGAGCTGGGAGGTGCTGGCTTGAGCTACAGCCCTGTCACCTGCAAACACACTTTCTGTTCTAGCCTGGTTGGTGCTCAATAAGAGTGTCAAGCTTACGTGGTTTTTCCAGGGTTGTTAATTTTCCAATTTTTTTTTTTCTGTAGTAAAGTACACAGAAAATGTAGCATCTCAGCCATTTTTAAGTGTGCAGTACAGTGGGATTAAATACATTCATATTACTGTGCAACCATCACCACCACCCGCCCCTAGAACGTCTCTGGGAAAGCCGAAACCCTGTGCCCGCCGAACTCCTCCTCCCATGCCCTCTCCCAGCCTTGGCACCACAGTTCGACTTCTGTTCCTGTGAATGTGCTTTCTCGCAGCACCTCCTGTAAGTGGAATCTCACAGTATTCGCCCCTTTGTGACGGGCTTATCTCACTGAGCGGAGTGTCTGTGAGGCCCATCCCCGCTGCAGCCGGGTCAGAGCCCCCTCCCTTTGTGGGTACCGACCGAGTCTGTTTATCGGCCACTTGTGGATGGACACCTGTGTGCTTCCACGTTTTAGCTGCTGTGAATTATGCTGCTATGGACATGGCTGTAAAGATATCTTTTAGAGAATTTGCTTTCAATTCTTACAGGTAGATACCCAGAAGGAGAATTGCTGGATCGTTTGCAAGTTCTATTTTAGTTTTCTGAGGACCCTCCATACTGCTTTCCACAGTGACTGCACCCTTTGACTTTGCTAACACCAAGTTGGGATTCCCATTTCTCCACATTCTCGCCAAAACGTGCTATTTCTTTATTTATTTGCTTATTTCTTTATTTATATGTTTTATAGTAGCCATCCTAATGGGTGAGGTGGTGTCAGGTGCACATTTTAACCTAAGACATAATTCTGTGTCTCTCTCAATGATTTAGTAAGCCCTCGTGGACAGTATCAGGAGGGAGGCAGAGAGCGGGCTCGGAGGGCAGGGGTACATCCTGCTCAGCTACTTTTCCCAAACCCTGGGCCCCACGCAGAGTAGGGCCAGCAGCCTCCTCTAACCCAAGGGGTGGGGTGCAAAGGGAGGCCATTGCTGCAGAGACAGGCTCTGAGGCAGGGACCGCCCCCAAGGGCACTGCCTCTCCCTGTTCCTATGAAGGCCCCTCGCATGCTCTCAGGCAAGCAGAACCCTATTTCTGTCAGGCGGGAGAAGACGGGCACTGAGCGAGGGAAAGGTTGTAAGTGGACGTAATCAATTTTAGTTCTTGTTTGAGCTACTCAGGTGTTACGGAAACAGAGCAAGAAAAATTATTTTTAAAACAAACCACAGGACGCCTGGCCACAACCTCCTCTGTACCGGTGGCTTCAGCTTCCTTCCCTCTTGCCCCTGAGGACTCAGGAAGTCAAGTTGGATTGAACTGGCGACGGCTCCCCAGGGGGTCCGCCTTAAGGGCCACACAGCAGAATCCTGCCCTAGCTGGTCTGGCTCAGTGGATAGAGCGTCGGCCTGCGGACTGAAGGGTCCCAGGTTCGATTCCAGTCAAGGGCACATGCCCGGGTTGTAGGCTCGATCCCCAGTGTGGGGTGTGCAGGAGGCAGCTGATCAATGATTCTCTCTCATCATTGATGTTTCTATCTCTCCCTCCCTCTCCATTCCTCTCTGAAATCAATAAAAAATATATGTATATTTAAAAAAAAATCCTGCAGAATCCTGCACCAGCCCCTGTCTAGACATAATACACACGTGGATTGTTTTTGCTGACCGTTTGGGACTCAAGAGAACAGAAGACGAGGAGCTTTGCAAATGCAGTGAGTTCAGGAATGAGAATGATTACTTTCGAGATGAAGGGCCTCTGGTCACCCCTCTACAAACCCAAAGGACAGGCATGCCTGTCTCCTCTCCTCCAGGGCGCCCCCCTGGCTCCTAGGCTGCCCTTGCCCAGGAGCCTCAGTTCCCTGACACTGAACAAGGCCCCCTGTCCTGCACAGGCGCTGTGCTGCCTGTCCCAGTGGGCCTTCCTGCTGGGAGCTGAGCTCTCCGCTGCGGGCTGAGGTCTTGGGTCTGGAAAGACCGATCCCTTCAGGCCCAGGAGAAGCATGATCTCCTGCCATGGTCACTGGGGCAGCTGCAGAGGTGGGGCGGGGCCAAGGGGAGGAGGACAGGAACGCTGGCCGCGTTTTATCTGTGGGCCGGCAGCATCTGGGCACGCTCACTGGCACTGCGTACTCCCAGGCACCCACTTTTCTTCTGAAATCTGTGCTTCTGGATGATTCTCCAAGGGGATGACTTAAAAGTCTAATTGTGGCCCTGTGTTGGGGGATGTGGCTCACAGGGCCATGAGGAAATGGCCTGGGTTGAGAGGGTTGTTCAGGGGTGACCGTGGGTGACAGCTGCTTTAAAATGTTTGTCCTCAAACAGAGGGGCTCAGCCACTGGCGAGAGGCTGAGGGCAGTGCACCCAGGAGCAGCAGCGGATGCGGAGCAGGGTGGTGGGACGGACACCGGGGCATTTACGGTGAGGAAAGGTCTCCTCTGATTCTCTCCCAAACCCTGAGGACAGATTCCTAGAGGTGACAGCACCTGCCTGGGGTCTAGCCCTGCAGTGGTGGACACATGTCCCCCTTTTGCCACCAGAGCTGTGTCCCCCGGTCCCCCTCCCCAACCTCCCTCGTCTCTTGCAGCAGACAGACTGGCCAGTTTGCCACCCAGTGTTCCCTCCTTAGTGGCAGGAAGCCTAGCACATGACTAGTTAGATGTAATTTCACCTTCAAGATCACCAAGTTACGTTTCATCAGTTGCCAGCTCGCATGCTAATAAAATTTAAGAAGTAATTCCAGGTATTTCCTGGAAAAGTCATTCTGCCAGGATACCACCTTGGCACTGACATCACATACTGTTACTGCAGACCTCTGTTCGGAGGAATCTTCCTCGAGGGTCTCCGCCCGCATGCAGGCCTGTGCGCGGTCACAGCAGGAAAGAACGACACAGCCCACAGCGCTGTGCTTGGGATGGAAGGCGCCACTGCATCCAATTCCACACATTACATAACGCGTCGCAGGTGCGCACGGCCCCTCGCGGCCGGCCACTGAGTCCGGGCACTGCCAGGGCACACAATACCATCACTGTGTCCTCAAAACCACAATCTAAAGACTACTTTTCTTAAGTCTTAAAGGCTCAGGTTTTGATTTCCTATGAAGCTAGAGGATTGTTCATGTTGCCCAATAACTGATAACTTCCCAGAATGCTTTGGACGCTGAGAAGGACGAGGTCGGCCTGTCCAGCACGAGTGGCTCGCTCAGCCAACTGTGGCCTCTGCACTTCGTGGTGCTGGTGGGTTTGGAGCTGGGCTCGCTCCTGAGTGAATGGACTTAGAAACAAGGGGTCTCTGCACTGTGTCCCCACTAAACAGAGGGCACTGCGGGCCGAGAGTGTCAGACACTGCTCTGTGATGGGTGGGGCGAGAGGGTCAACGATGGCTCGCGAGAGACCGCCCCCCAAACACACAAGGTCATACGTGGCCCTGAGGCTGGGGGCCGCTGAGGCTGGGGGACACTGAGGCTGGGGGACTTGGGGACACTGAGGCTGGGGGCCACTGAGGCTGGGGGAACACTGAGGC